CGCCCAGTAAAATGACGTTCCCGCGATTTTCGATAATGGTGTGATAAGGACCTTCCTTAATCATGATCTCACTTTTGCTCAAAGTATAATAAAGACATGGAAATGTCATCGCAGAAGGTTCAACACTTGATCGACTTCATTAAAAAAAATTGTAAGCTTAAAAATGTTGACGCGACACGTCGGAAGTTAGAAAAGTTAGTGAAAGATGGTCATGAAAACTTACAAATTGTTTGTGGTATATATTTTTATCTGTCATATTTTTTTTTTAAAAAAAAAAAAATCTCGTTTTGTTTTTCTAATAAACTTTTTAATTTATTAAAAAGATTTTGATGCTACAATGACACGTTATTTTACTTTGAATCGTGAACGAAACCCAGGCTCACATAAGATATTGTCTTCAAGTTCTCGTTTAACCGAAGAAGTTTGTACGCTTAAAAGCATTTGAATGTTGAATTTAATTAATAACTCATATATTTTTTTAATCAAGTTCAAAAAGGAAACGGACGAATTATGTGAAATTTATTATCCAATAGAAATGGATAAAACATTGACAAAAGAAGAGAAAACACCTTTCATGATCGAATGGTGGACAAAGGCTCATGAACTTTTAATAGGTCAACGTATCAATAAAAACGATATAAAAGAGATGGTGGCAGAAACTCCAGTAGAAATGAGGCCAGGATTGGGTGTACTAATTAAAAAATGCAGGGACAACGATATACCCTTCTTGATATTTTCAGCCGGGATTGCTAGTAATTACATTATTTTATTTTTTTCAGACTATTTATGTTTAAATAATAGTATACAAAAAACTTACCATTTTCATTATAATATAAGATGTCATTGAACAAGTCCTTGTCACAAAGAACCTTTATTATCCTAATAATATGCATATCGTATCTAATCAAATGGGATTTAATCCTGAAACAGGAATATGTGACCATTTTAAAATACCTCTGATTCACATATTCAACAAAAGTGAGATCATGATTAAGGAAGGTCCTTATCACACCATTATCGAAAATCGCGGGAACGTCATTTTACTGGGCG